TTCTGTGAAATAGAGACAAAGGAAGAACGAACCAAAGAAAATGTCTGACAAAACTGAAGCTAAATGAGTTTATTTTCCTTCCTTATGTTGTAATGTACATGTGCTAGATAACGTGAAAAGGAGAAACTGCCAAATGCCTTTATGAAGGAGATAAGAGCATATGTGGAGGAAAATGAACCATAAATGTTATCTCGGAGAGGTCCCACTTGGAATAAGTGTATATATGGCAGTTATGTCTAAAATTTGTTATGTTGCTATTGTTTTGTGAAATGACAGAACATCTGCTTAGTCACAAGGCACCAGTAAAATGCAGCTTTATGCCTAAAGCAGTATGTCAGTTCCTAACAAAAACAAAGGCACATTGTCTTTTCCAGTAGTCATTTCTGACCTAATAATGGTTTAGAAAGGATTTTTTATTTTCATTTTTAAAGAAATGAATGGAAGAATTGAGTCATTTATGATTCCTTTCAAGATGAGGCTTTGTGCATTATTTGTGTATAAGCTGGCAAAACACTTTGTCTCTGCAAATCATATTTATGTCACTGGAGCACTTTTAAAAAGGCAGCTACTTGTGAGTACCTTGAGAAAAAATCATGCTTAGCTTACAGTTTCTAAATGCAGTGTATAAGCAGCTGGTTTTCCCTCCCACTGGAACAGCAGCAAGTGATATGTGTGCTCACATGGAGAGTGGACACAAGTCACATTTCACCTCAGAGCTGACTCTTCAGAAGGAAAAAAGCATTCGCAGTGCAATCTGTCATGTAGAAAACTAATCACAAATCCCCCTGGGACAATTATTCTATGGAATTTTCTCTGAATATTCCAAGCACACAACTTTTAAGTGGCTTTATTCAAAGAGAGTATTTTCATTGTTGTGTTCACTGACCTGAGAAGCTTGAAACTGTGGTATAAAATAGGATTTTAAAACCTATTTTCTGATGAAATGGGGTTATTATCCTACAGCTTGAAGTCATACACATGCATATATGACCCCTCAGCAAATAGACTGATCAATGAAACAGATAGAAATTGGCACCTTTTTCTACAATGGTTTTCATGGAGTGAAGCAGTTATTATTTAATTAAGGGGTGGAAGTATTCAAGCAGAACTGGCTTCGTGAAAAACCACGATAATGAGTTTGTATTCTGCCACACCTGTGTTCAGAGTGAGAACCAGGGTTAGATCCTTGTGCAGAGCTCAAGGGTTGTGTGTCACGGGCTCTTTGAAGCCTCTGAAGTCTGAAGGACTCTTTTATGTGACTGGGAATGTGCGTGCTACATCATGAAGTATTAATAGCAGAGAAAGACAGGAGCCACTCTCATATGAATTCTTTCTTCTCCAGAAAACCTGATGTCAGCAGAACTTCTTTTTTTTTTATATTTTTAATGTCACTTAAGGTTGGGACCTTTGCTGGAATAAATAAAATCCGTGCAGGAGAGTCATCTGTGTCTGACTCAGAGCTGAATAGTAATATGTGATTTTTACCTTTCAGCTGAGTCAGATACAGACACTAAAACTTCCCCACAGAAGCAGTATATAGTTTCTCAGAAACCCTTCAGAGGTTTGTGAACCTGATCCAAAGCTTATTGCAGTTGGGAAAATTCCTGATTTGAGTCAGTTTCCAGTTGGACTGTACAAATCTTACTGATCCATTTATATAACCTTTTCAAGAGGGAAAAAAAAAATCTTTCACATATGGCAAAAACTTGAAGACTTAATTTTTAAGCTGTTAAGATGCCAGTATTCCCTGGAATCTTAAGCAGCAGGTAACTTGTGCTTTGTGAAGGTAAAGGCACAAGCTCCAGGGCCCAGCCTGAAATTCATTGCAATTATTTAACTGAGGCATCAATTCTCAGCACCAGAACAGGAGCTCTGTTGTGCAGAGTTGCCAGGGGTGGCTGGATGGCATCATTTGTCAGCTGGCAGGGAAAGAGCCACCAAAAGAAGGCGTTTTTAAGAGTGGCTCTTAAGCAATGATAGAAATGCCACGACTGACTCCAGTCTCTGCTCCCCAGTGTTAAACTGGGGCAAGGAACTCTGGTTCTCCCCTCTGGGGAAGCAGGAGGATTTGTGCTTGGTGGCAGCAGGCTGGAGAATTGCTCAAGGTTTTTAACAGATCTGTGTCCTCCAGGCTGTCTCTGAGGATGACCTGAACCTCCAGGTGACCTCCACATCCTCTGCTGGGGACCTCGCAGCCCCCCAGCCACAAAGCACAGCAGGCATTCCCTGCCCACACCCCACCCCTGGGGCCAGACAGTAAAAAGTGATGGTTAATGTCTTCCATTATCATCTTCTAAAGCTCCACCTTCCCAGTCCATGCTGATGCCTGGTGCTATTTTCACAGTCACAGAATGAACTAGGTTGGAAAAGACCTTTAAGAGCATCCAGTCCAACCTGTGACCTAACACCTCCTCATCAACTAAACCACTGAGTGCCACATCCAGGCTTTTCTTAAACGCCTCCAGGGTGCAGTCTCAAGCCTTTGAGACAGGTTTCTGCTATTCTGGGAAAAAAAAGGAGGCTGGGACATGCTGCCATAAGCTTTGTTACTGCCCTGAAACGCTGATCTCACCGGGGTCCTGTGGCAGTAGCCAAAGGAGAGCTGTGCCTTCTGCAGAGAGAAGGGTGCTGGGTCACAAGTCACTGTGAAATGGTGACATTGCCTTCTCAGCAGGGGTGCTCAGCGTGTCTGGGGCTCCTCACTGAGGTGGCTGCACTGTCCCATCTCCTGGGATTGGTTTATTTATAGATGAACCATTACTGATGCACAAAGTCAGGCTCTGATCCATCGTTCTAGGTGAGTGCTGGCCCCAGGACATAAAAGCCCTGTTGTGAAGAGGCTGGGAAAGGGTATCCAAGGTGAAAGGGGTTGGTAGGTCACACCTGAGTTGATGTTAGGATATCAGGGCTCTGGGTAATTTGATGGCCCCTCTCTGCTGAGAAAGAAAGGGCATCTAAGAAAAAGGGCTGGCTTCACCTTCAGAGATCCAGAGGAGATGCAGGTCTGGGCTCCAGCTTCTCTCTCGCTGCAGTGAAGGCACCAGAACCCAGAAATACTGCAGTGCACCATGCTGGGAAGCTCAGCTTCCTCCTTAGAGCTGCGGCCCATTTGGTTCAAGAATTGCTTGTTCTGAGCAGAAGTCAGGATTTGAGCCATGGGCAGTGAATGAAATCAGATTTTTGCAAAGAAGGAGTGCCTTATCAGTCAGTAAACATTTCTGCTCTGACTTGCAAACAGTCATTAAAAGCCTTTATTAAATTTTCTGTCTGTTCTGTTTGCCACTCAGCCATTTCTTTTCATTCTGAAGAATTATAACTAAGAATGAATGAGTCTTTTCTAATATGGTCAGGATACAATAAATTTGTGGAAGAACTGAGTTATCTTTCTCCCTCATAGGCAAAATTTTCCAATTGTTTAACAAAATGTTGTTTTGTATTGTCATGGCTTCGGACTTTATGGCTGTGAATAGCAAGGCTCAGTATTAAGCAAGTTGTTTATAAAAACCAGACATGTAGTAACAATTAGAGAGTGTTCAGTGCGCTTCCCCACCCGAGTCCATACACTCTCCTCCCACTTACTGATCTTCCACTGCACTGTGCAGTTATTTGTGAATTCAGAATGAGCAAACTGAGCTCTTCAGTGAAAGGGTGCAGAATTTCCTGGTTCTGCCTTGCAGAAGTTGGCATCTGCTGTTCCACAGAACTGGATCTCTGCTGCATTTGTCAGCCCCAGAGGGGAGGATGGCAGCTCCCAGCACCTGAAGGAGACTGTGACACAAAGCTTCACACTACAGAGAAATTGCTGCATCCATCACCATCCTTTCAGCCCATTAAATACAGCTGTATTAGCCCTGTGCTCCAGTTCACCCACAGCTCCCAGAACAGCTCCTTTTTAGTGTTTGAATCTCCAGTGTGTTACATTTCAAAGTACATTTTGCTCAGTACCAAGAATAATCAGTCCTTTGGGATGAAGCAGATCACAAAGCCTGAAATGGATCTGGAGTACTTTGGGAGGCAGATACTTGTGCTGAAGGTGTTGGATAGATCCCCAGTCTGGCAGCTGTGCAGAGGCTTTGAGAGAGTAGTGTCTTTCCAGCTGGTCAGTGCTCCTCAGGAGTGGGGGAAAGGTTCAGGCTTCTCCTGGACCATCCTTGCACAATGAATATTTGCCTTACAACACAATTTATTAGTCTAAGCCGTTTGGTTGTTTTGATTTTTTTCCCAGATAGTGTTGCTCTTGGTGTGCCCTGCGCAGGCTGGGTTTGGATTCACTCCCATGGAAATGGGGTTTTTCATCTTTTGGAACTACCAGTGAGCTGAAAAATCGTTTATTTCCACAGTGCTAACAGTAGGCAGCTGTTCGTGGTGACAGCAGGAGAAAAAGTTATCTAAAGATCAAAAAGCTGAGTTTTTTTGGGGGGGTAAATCTGCTGTTAGAGCAAGCATGACCTGGTGTGATAGATTTAGATTTAGTTTAGAAAAGTGCTCAGTCCTGGAAATACTTCAAGTGAAATCTAATGAACACCTTGCAGCTGGAACAGGCATCTTAAAAGTCATATTTAGGGGCAAGGTTTCCAAATGACCAAGCCCATCATGAAAAATAGCAAACTCCCTCAGCTGTGAGCTGTCATGGTGTTGTAAATCCCTCAAAAGGAGCACTTGGACAGCTGGCAGATTGTACCATCATTATCAATGATCCCTGAGCTGTGCTTGGCAAAGGAAGAGCTGTGGGAACAGCACTCCCCGTGCTGGTACTGGTAGATGTGATGTTTTCAATTAAAAGCTTGATAAGTGGTCAACTACAGTGGGGAACATTTGGTTGCATAGTCTGTTACTCCAAAATGTTTGAATGCCATTGCCAGAAACAGGCTCCAGCTCGAGGAGCTGCTCTCAAAAGTGCACGAGGGAGTGTTTGCTGCTGGATGAAGCAGGCGGGTGCCAGGGGTAGGAACTGTGTAAATAGTCTGACCGTGCTTGGTTTGTCACTTCTTCCATTTCAGCTGGATGCTGAGAAGGCAAAGTCGAAGCTGGAGCGATGGGGTCCCCGAGACGCTGGCAGTGGGGATGGAAGGAGTGAGGAGATGGAGTCAAGTGGAGATTGTGATGATGAGGATGGCTGCCAAGGATCCGGGGACAGGATGCACACAGCAGGTAAATACAGCTTCTGTAGGCAGCTAGAGAGCTTAGAAATGTGTGTGTCACAATTAGGTGGCCAGAGCTAAGACTTACACTGCTTGAATTGCTGTCAAAATCCTACTAAATTCAAAGGATTTGAATCTTAATCTGTGAAGAGCTGCGGTAAAAATAGAATGATACAGACACTAACCCAATATAATTTAACACTTGGCTTGCAGATAAAAGACTTAAACATAGAGTGAATAATGTCTGCAATGAAATCTGGATCACAGGAGTGCTGAAGAACCTTCCTAGATAATGTGGGCTCTTCAGATAAGTAGAAAATTGATGACCTTATAGAGTATGCTAAGTGTTAACATAAACATTTATTTATTGCAAAATGACACTGAAGGATGATCCAGAGTTGGCTCAATTTATATATTCTTGAAAAAAATGTAGGAAATATTGTGAGTTTTTTTCCCTAGTGGTGAGCTGCTGGTTAAATGGAATTTCTTGATAGTCTCAGATACTCCATTCTGCAATATTTAGTAATTAAATTACTTGGATAATATGTCATCAAGTGTAGAATCAGCTTCAGAATCTAACAACTTCCACCACCATACTGGCAATATAATATGTAGTTAAATCCTTTCAGTAACTTAATAAGAAGTAGATGTTTCTAAATACTTGATATTATTGGTTTACCTAATCTCTAAGTTCTAGATTCATTTTACCTCACTGAAATGTAACTGGTTTAATTTACCATAGTGTAAATATAATGTGGATTAGATGTGTAAATATATGAAATACAGGTGGAAGAGTGCTGAAAACAGTGCTCATTGAGATGGCTGGAGCTCAGGTAGGTTTTAAACTCCTGCTTGGTTCTGCTGAGATAAACAAATGCCTTTTCCTTGTCCCTTTGCCACTAAGTGCAGAGGGGGAAGAGGTGTCTCATACTCAGGTAAGATTTACAAACACGCTGTGATCTGCTTGTGGTCAAGACTTCAGCTGTCCCTGTTGTGAATATCTGTGCAGGAAAACCAAGCTTAAAGATACACTTTGGAATGTGTGCAGAGTGTTGCAGGTAATTGCAGTACCAGTTTATAAACACCTGAATTTTAATTTGCATTGATGGACTGTTTGATCAGGGTATCATCACGTAGGAACACTGTTTTTAAAAATCTTTAAATAATTACAACTGTCAGATCAAGCAGAGGCTTTCACCATCTACTCACCAATATTTTTGAACAAAGGAGCTCAGATACAATGTTATTTTAAAACTCTTAGCTTAACTTTTTAATTGTTTACTGTATTTCAGTCAAAAAAGACTGGTAGATGCTTTAGACCCTGGGGATTTAGGAAGATAAATATTGTAATGTGATTTCCTCTCTGTGTGGAATAATAGAAACAAAAGCTTGGTAGTCTTCAATGAACTATCAACAGCTTCAGTCAAACTATTAATATACCATTTGGGGGGGATGTATATCTATGCTTCCATGGACAATTGCATTTAAAAAATAAACACTTGAATGCTTTCAAGACTTGACTTTCAGCTGGCTTTAACAAGGGAAAGCTACTTAATGTCAATTTTTCTCCTTCTTTGTGATCTATTTAATTAAAATATTTTATGCTGATATCATCCTGGATTTAAAAGAATTATATTTATATAACTGGCTGTTTCAGAATTTAGCAGGGTGTATATCCAATTAAAAAGGTAGTTACAATAACTTCTAGAAAATGGTATTGATTCATAACAGAAGAATAAGTATTTCATTGTGTGACAATAGTAATGCTCTATCATAATTAGCTTTAAAATATTGTACTGTACACCAGCCACTAGCAGTAAATCTCTTTTCCATATCTGGATACAATTAAGAGATAAAATGCAGTAATCTCATTATGGAGCTGCTTTGCTTTAATAGAATGTTAAAGAAAAACAAACATGAGATTAGTTGAGTTTCCCCTTGCTGCATGTCTGAGATGATGCTGGCATCTGTACAGCTGTGAACTTGGATTTCCTAAGCTTAAAACACATCCAGTCCATCTACCCATTGTTTGTGGAACATGACAACATTGCCTGTTCCCTGCTTGCCTGGAAACTGAGTGGTGAATTGGCTCTAAATCCCACATGGATCCCTGGTTTGAGGGGTGGTGAAGTCACTGGGAATGTCCTCACAGGTGGGGTGAGACACAAACCAGAGCTGTGAAATGCCACCGAGCTCTTTGGGGCATGCTGGAGCACCCAGTCACACAGCAGAACAAAAGGAATAAGAAAGGAATAAAAGCCTTTCCAAACAGACTTTTTGGCACAGCAGTCATGCATTTAACAACAGGCCCATGAAAAACAGAGGAAAATATTTCAATGTCAGCCTCTAAATTGCAGAATTGAGAATGTAGTAAATATGTACTACATCTGTCATTTATTCAAAACTATATGAAATTATATTTACTGCTCTAAGTGTTGAGAGCATTGCAAAAGACTGAGATTGCTTTTAGTTTTTGAAAATCCACGGAATGCTCATTTCATTCCACCTCCCAAAAAAAAAATACAAAACAAAACAAAAAAACCCTTTTCTTTACTGATAAATGGCCAAGAATTTTGTCAATACATGGGTTACCATCATGAAACATTTCTGGTTTTAGCTATTCCAAAAGATCTCCTCAGACAGGGCCCACTGCTGACTCCCCACGTCGTTTTTCCAAGCTGCTAACAGAGGGCTGGGCTCCTGGTTTTTGGATTTCACCATGAAATCCATGAGTGGGAGAGCACAGAAGTGATTCTGTGGGTATGTTCCAGCCAGGTCCTTGAAACACCCTTTTCCCTCTGTTGTTTTTTATTCCCTTTTGGTTGGCATTTGCTATTTCTGTAGTTCAGCTCATCCAGCAATGGGCAGTACAATCCTGGTCTTTTGTTTGTCACCTTCTGGCCTTTGAGACTCATACCTGCATATCAATTAACCATTTAATTTTATGTCCATAATTAAGATACATGGATGTCTGTCAGCTAGTGCTGGGATTTTGTTTCTCTTTGTTGCAAATAAGTCTTTGCTTGACCCATTCAATATTACCTGAAAAGATCAACACTTCTTTAATGGTAATAGGCTTAATTACCTATTCTTTAGCATGTGTGTTTATCCAAGTGGTTTTTATATGAACAAGATAAATTCTCAGGAAACCAGGATTCTCTTCAAAACTTATGGCTGGTAGAAGATGCTTTATAATGTCCTGTTCTCACAGGCCTTACCAATTACCCCGAGTATCTCTTCCTGGGGAAAGCTGTGGGAACAGCAGTTTCTCAAGCAGGCCCATGTGTTATTCGTTGGCAAGTACCAACTTTTTAATGACAACATCTGTAAATCATCTTTGAACAAAGCTTTAAGAGAGATTTAAGAAGAGGAAAGCCAGCCATATAAATCTTGAGCGTGGATGGGGAAGTTGCTCTGTGGTTTGCTCTGCTGCAGTCGTGCAGGTTTCTAGGCAGAAGGGCAAAGCAGCATCTTAGGCTGAGCCTTGCTGAGCCTGGCCTGCTCCCAGAACCAGTCTTACATGGATCTGATCACTGTAAGTCCTTGTTCTTTAGCCCTTACACGAAGTTGGTGGTGCTGGAGGAGAGCAGGGATTGCTCAGTGCCCTGCAGAACTGAGGGAGAGCAGTGAGTGTCCTGCTGCTCCTGGAAAGAGAACAGCAGCAGATTCACACTGGTCCTGCCTCTGCTGCCTCCTTTTCAGAGGAGGAGAATATCTGGTGAAAAGTGTGAAGGAAGCTTGTGCAAGGAACTCCACTGGCCAGCTCTGTGTTGTGATGAGACCCCTCCCAAGCAATGACAACCAAGATTAGGTGTCAGTTCAGGGAAGCCATCAGGTGATTCACTCCTAAACAAAGGTGGAGGAGATGTTTAGGCCAAGGGTAAACCTGTGTTTAGTGCAAGGCCAGAGGCAGCTGTGTGGAGCTCTGGGCTGTGTGGAAGTTGTGGTGAGGAAGGTTGTGCTGACACCACTCTGGGCACGAGTGCATGAGCACACCTGCAGGCAGGGGAAACCCAGCTGCTCCTGCATCTGTGTCTGAGGCTGGATGTTCCACACAGCCAAGACAGAAATTAATCCAGGCTTCTGTCTTGAGGAGCCTGATGCAACATGGTGCAAAGTCCCAGGGAGTGGAGCTCCTGCTGGACTGCAGCTGTCCTGTGGCTGGCAGGGCAGGCAAACAGCACAGGTGGAGGAAAATAGAGTTTAGTCCATCCTTGGACCTTCCTTCACTGAATAGAATAGACAACCCCAAATGAATGTCTGGTGTACTTGAACTTCAGTCGTTGCACCAGATTCCCCTCTCTGAGGTTGGAATCTGTATTTGCCTCAGAAAGCTCAGCCCTCAGGTGGGACAGCTGTTAACTCCCTCCTGACATGCCTGGAAATTTGAGATTGTTGGGCAATGGAAATATGGAGCTTTCCTGGCTCACTGTCTTGTTCCACACAGAGCTGGGCTGCTGCTGTGTCCCCATCCCAAGAGCAGTGGGTGTCCATGGAATAACAAGTGCCTGAGCAGTGCTGGCCCTCAGGCAGAGGAGATCTTAGTACAATACTTTCAGTCCTGTCTGTCAGTGCAGGCATTCCATAAAAACACATCCAGGGACATCCCAGCCACACTTTAACCATGACTGTGGGTTAAATGTGTTTTATCACTGCGATTTCTGCCAAATGCTTACCTCGTCCCAGGAACAGTTTTCTTCTGTACTTCCTCCTAATTCCTTCATGGAGCTCCCTCCTTTTAACAAGACCTTTCAGATTTCAGACATCCCATCTGAACATCCTGCCTCATTGTCCCAGATCATTGTCTGGGTGGGAATCTGTAACAAACCTACCTGGAACGTTCACACGCCATGATTCCAACTCTTGGCTTTCTTCTTGGCTGTGTGGACAATCCCCATCTTTCTGCTTATCTTTCAGAGTATCTGAAGAGATTATCCTTGTAGATTTCTTATTTAGGGCTTGTGAGAAGGATACATTTTTGCCCCAATATGCTTTTACAAGTACAGACAA